TGTACATCTTCTTTATCCACTCATCTGTTGATAGACATTGAGGTCATTTCCATGTCTTGGCTATTGTGAATAGTGCTGCTATGAATATAAGGGTGCATGTATCTTTTTGAATTACAGTTTTGTTTGAATATATACCCAGGGATGGGATTGCTGGGTCATATGGCAACTCTTTTTTGAGGAACCTCTATACTGTTTTTCATAGTATCAGCAGCGAGTTTAAATTCAGTAGGTGTAAGACATTGGGATCTGGGCAGATAAATAAGGCTTTTCAGTTTCAGAAATGAACATCAGCAGCATTATTTCTTTTTTGAAATAAATTCTCAGCATGATGTACTCCATCAAAGAAAAACCACTAGTATGGGCACATTTCTTTTGAAAGCATCATTTTGTACTTGGAAGTTAAAAGCATTTTCTTCAGAATTTATTGGTCATCTCTTTATAAGGTTTATTTACAAATATGTTGCATTGGGTTTCTTAAAAAAATCTTTTTAAGTTTTTAAAGAATATCTCATTTTCCACCTTAATTTAAAAAGTGTAAGGTATCTGTATCTAAGAATACTAGAATATATGCATATATACACACATGTCCATGATACATATATTAAGCTATATATACATACATTGATATACATTAATAGATACAATTTTTGGATATATAATAAGATAATGGATTATTTTATGTTTATCTGTTACCCAGATTTAGTAACAAGTATTACATTTATATTCTTGCCTGGGAAAGCCCAGACAGAGGAGCCTGGCTGGCTACAGTCCATGGGGTTGCAGAGTCGGATACGACTTGCCGAATAAACAACAACAAATTACATTTATAATCATTTTTTTAATAGTGCTCAAACCTCTAAAAAACAAGTTATTTTTAAGGCATGGGACTCTTGTGACTGTGTGAATACCTGTCATTAACTGGTACACAGATGATAATCTTTGTGATCAAATTTCTTTTTAATGAGACATAACTGACAGGTATACAACTTGGTTTGACACATGTATATATTGTGTAATGATCACAGAAAGATTACTTACAAGTTTACGAAGTTACAAATTTTCTTCTTGTGAGGATATAACTTTTTTTTCCATTTATTTTTATTAGTTGGAGGCTAATTACAATATTGCAGTGGTTTCTGCCATACATTGACATGAATCAGCCATAGATTTACATGTATTCCCCATCCCCATCCCCCCTCCCACCTCCCTCCCCACCCCATCCCTCTGGGTCTTCCCAGTGCACCAGCCCTGAGCACTTGTCTCATGCATCCAACCTGGGCTGGTGATCTGTTTCACCCTTCATAATATACATGTTTTGATGCTGTTCTCTCAAAACATCCCACCCTTGCCTTCTCCCACAGAGTCCAAAAGTCTGTTCTGTACATCTGTGTCTCTTTTTCTGTTTTGCATATAGGGTTATTGTTACCATCTTTCTAAATTCCATATATATGCGTTAGTATACTGTATTGGTCTTTATCTTTCTGGCTTACTTCACTCTGTATAATGGGCTCCAGTTTCATCCATCTCATTAGAACTGATTCAAATGAACTCTTTTTAATGGCTGAGTAATATTCCATGGTGTATATGTACCACAGCTTCCTTATCCATCCGTCTGCTGATGGGCATCTAGGTTGCTTCCATGTCCTGGCAATTATAAACAGTGCTGCGATGAACATTGGGGTGCACGTGTCTCTTTCAGATCTGTTTTCCTCGGTGTGTATGCCCAGAAGTGGGATTGCTGGGTCATATGGCAGTTCTATTTCCAGTTTTTTAAGAAATCTCCACACTGTTCTCCATAGCGGCTGTACTAGTTTGCATTCCCGCCAACAGTGTAGAGGGTTCCCATTTCTCCACACCCTCTCCAGCATTTATTGCTTGTAGACTTTTGGGTAGCAGCCATCCTGACTGGCGTGTAATGGTACCTCATTGTGGTTTTGATTTGCACTTCTCTGATAATGAGTGATGTTGAGCATCTTTTCATGTGTTTGTTAGCCATCTGTATGTCTTCTTTGGAGAAATGTCTGTTTAGTTCTTTGGCCCATTTTTTGATTGGGTCATTTATTTTTCTGGAATTGAGCTGCAGGAGTTGCTTGTATACTTTTGAGATTAATCCTTTGTCTGTTGCTTCGTTTGCTATTATTTTCTCCCATTCTGAGGGCTGTCTTTTCACCTTGCTTATAGTTTCCTTTGTTGTGCAAAAGCTTTTAAGTTTAATCAGGTCCTATTTGTTTATTTTTGCTTTTATTTCCAATATTCTGGGAGGTGGGTCATAGAGGATCTTGCTTAAGATCCACTCTCTTAGTAACTTTAAAACAGACAGTATCACTAACTCCAATTACATCCTTGGGACTTCACTGTACTTTTTTTTTTTTTTTTTCATTTTTTTTTTCACTGTACTTTTGATCACCCTCCACCACTGCCTGTTCTCTGTATCTATGTTGTTGCTTTTTTTTTTTCAGTTCCACATTTCAGTAAGATTATATATTTGTCTCTAATTTCACTTAGCATAAAGTTGGTACGGTCCATTAGTCTTGTTGCAAATGGCAGGACTGTGTGTGTGTGTGTATGTGACTCATCTTATTCCACTGAGCTGTACTGCAGACTAACTTTATATCCTGCAATTTAATTCATTTATTAGTTCTAACAGTCTTTGGGGGAGTCTTTAGAGTTTTTTATATATATATCACCATGTCAGCTACAAACAGTGAGAGTTTTACTTCCTCTCCAATTTGTCTGCCTTGTTTTTGTTTTCTGCCTACTTGCTCTGCTTACATCTTTCAATACTATGTTGAAAGAAGTGGCGAGAGTGGGCATCCTTGTGTGGTTCCTAATCTCAGGGGAGAAGCTTCTAGCATTTCCACTGAGTATGATGTCAGCTGTAAACTAATCAAATTTCTTAATGCTTACAATAAACTTAGATTGGAACTTCACTACTGGTGATTGGTGGCTTGTGAAAACACAGGGCACAGAGAAGCAAGGTTATAATTGGAATAAAAAATTTAAGCAGCAAGAGAGAGAGCAAATAACAGTATTAGTAATGTTTTAGAACATTATTACAAAAGGAATGATTGAAAGAAAATATATATGAACAGTATGCTGTAAGAAAGCCCAGGTACTTGTTACCTAGTTTCAACCATTTACTTTGAAGTTAATCCCAGATACTTATATTATCTGTAAATATTTCAGTGTGCATTTCTAAACAGTGGAGACTCCTTTTACTTAAACCATAATGCCATTATTGTACCTCTTTTTTAAATATTTATTTGGCTGCAGCAGGTTTGAGTTGCCACATGCCAAGATCTAGTTCCCTGACCAGGGATCAAACCTGGGCCCCTGCATTGGCAGCATGGAGTCTTAATCACTGGACGACCTGGGAAGTCCTTGTACCTTAATGATGTACCTTAATGTACCTGGTGTCATCAGGTGCCACTCAGCCATGTATCATTTCCCAGCTGTCATATACTATATAGATGCAAACACATACATTTTATACACACACATATATATACATAAACATTTTATTCACTTCTGCATCATAAAATAAATAAATTACTATTTGTTTGAATCAGGATCCAAATAAAGTTCACACACTGTGATTGGTTCTTAGGTCCTTGAATCTCTTAATCCTGTTTTCCATATATCTTTTATCTCCTTGTAATTTTTTTAAGAAACAAAGTCAGTTATCCTACTTATCCTACAGGGGAATTCAGAGACTGAATTTTGCTAACTAAATTACGCTGGTGTAGTTTACACAACTGTCTGTTCCCTGTATTTCTTGTAAACTGGTCTATTGAGAAGCTTAATAGGTTTTTTTTTGTCTTTTAGCAAAACTGTGTCATGAGTGGTAATGTAACCAAGTACTACTTTAAAGCTCGTATCACAAGTAGTTTGGGGCATTTTAAAGACATCCAGGTAAACAAAAGGACTCTTAGTGGTAAGAGGCAGGTGACTAGTGGCGTGCCTTTTCTGGAATAATACAAAAGTTAAAATTATCTCCAGGAATCTTCTGCATGGACGTGAATGCACAAGAGGAACTAAATGGTGTCCTGTAGGTCCAGGCATCTCATGGGATTGGCCCTTCATGACTGTAGTGGGCACTGCAAGCTACATATTATCCTTTACAGATCTATGATACTTAGAAACATAGTTTCTGGCTATTTAACTTTTATCTGACTCTCAGAAATAGTTATTCACATTCACTACATTTCGGGTCCTCCATAGCAGTGATATAGTATATATCCATCATCACAGAAAGTATTCTTGGACAGCCCTTTTTACACTCGAGAGAGAATGGAGAAATAGATGAACTGAATGAAAACACTTTGGCATTCAAGTAAATTTTTTTTATGTTTTTCTATAAATCTAATAGATTATATATCTGAGGTGCTGCCTCCAATACATAACTGCCCTTTTAAAGCATGAATGTTATAGGACCATCTTTTTGTTGGTGGAAAATACAAGAAGTGTGTTTCTGGGTAGGTTTGTTATAGACATTCTGAAAATCTCTGTTTCCTGCTGTAGCTCCACTTGCTCATAAACATCTCTAGACTCCATCATCTCCAGAAAGCATACCAAGAGGTGGCAGGTAAACGCAGATACACCCGTGCAGTGACAGGAAGGCTGGTGATGGGTTGAGTGGTCAGAAACAAAGCACAAGAGCGAGCTCTCTTCATATTTCTATTTTACATTTTAATAAAATGACTCCATGGAGTGAAGTTTTATAGCCCCCCAAAACAAGTAAGCACAGAGAGCCAAAAAGTTTGACTCTTATAGACATCGTGGTAAACTGGAAATAAATTTCATAACTAGGTGAGAGAGGAATTTCTAAATTCTCGAGGTGTTGTGAAGGAATGGCTCTTTGCAAAGGATGCCTGTTATCAGCTCTCTTACCTGTAGACATCAACAACAGCTCACCTGCCTGAGTAACCATTTTACTTTCTCTCAATCTGGTCAAAAATGCTGAACTTTTAAGTAATCAAGCTCTGCTTCACCTTTTACAGCGGAAGTTCAGAGTGAAATCGAAAGGATTTTTGAACTTGCAAGAACACTGCAACTGGTGGTCCTTGATGCGGACACTATCAATCACCCAGCCCAGCTCAGTAAAACCTCTCTGGCCCCTATTATAGTGTATGTCAAGATTTCTTCTCCTAAGGTAAGCAGGGCTGTTACCATTTGTTCTGCAGTGAAACTTTACTAAAATGTGTGTTTATAGTCTGCTTTCCAGTTACAAACAGGCTGCTTCTTTATCCATCACTAAGGATTTGAAGAGAGATATGGTAGATGAGAAGTGTTAAGATTCATATAAGCAGAGAGTGATAAGCTTCATGGCTGAGAACAGTGATTTTCAAAGTGTGGCCTGTGGATTCCTGGTGGGGGAGGCTTGGAGACACTTTCAGAGGGCCTAGAAGGTCATTTCCCTGATAATCCTCAGACATTCTCCTCCTCTTCCCCTGGCCTGACCTTTGTCCTGATGGTGCAAAAGAAGTGGTGGGTAATGGCTAGGCAGGAAGCAAGACAACAGCACTAGCAGCTGCTGCATTCTTCCTCACCATGCACCACCATGTTATAAAGTTTCACTTAATGTCCTAATGAAAATGCATCTAGTGCCACTTTCTTAGTGGAGTTTGAAAACACTGGATACATTAGTTCCGGGTATGTATATTGATAGGAGATCCTTGCTCTTGTCTAAAGGCATTACTAAAATAAAAATCTATGTCCCAGACTAGGTCAGAATAAGGTGCAGATTTTTTACTGACAACCTTCAAGTTAGAAGAGACGATGCCTCTTTCGCCTATGATTTTAGATGGATTCTTGTGAAATATCTGAGTATTATTAAGTTAACTGTGCTAGGAATTAAGTTTTTATGATCATTAACTCTTTCACAATTTCTGGTGTCCACACTAAGAATACAAAAACTGGTGATATTAGTTTTAAGAATGTTATTTCAATATTTAGTCAATAAAATGTTATTGTGGTACTTTAATAAACAATTTTGCTACTTTATCAGAACTTTTTTAAAATTTTGAGTCTTCAAAAAGCTGCTACAAGCCTTTTTAATATTCTACATAACAAAATGGGAAGTGCACATCAAGTTCTTCAGCTGCATACTCAAAAGTCAGTTATTTGAGGACAAGTACTGGTGTGATTATTGGAGTCATCCTAGAACACTGTTTTTATTGGAAAGAACAAATGACATGCCATTCAAATTTCAGGATAAATCAATGGAATTTAATAGAGTAGGGTTTCAGATGTCACATGGCAGCTAATCTTTAAAAAGCTACCACTTGTTTACTGTAGTATCAAAGAAAAATATCCACAATTATCTGAAAAGGCTATTAAAATACTCCTCCTTTTCTGAATTACATATGTGGAAGAGGCTGGATTTTCTTCACGTATTTCAAAGTAATGTACTGTGGCAGATAAATTTACAAACAATTTAGCTATTTTTATTGAAATAAGTGATATATGTTAACATGCAAGAAGTTTATTGGTCATTCTTAAATGAATTTCTCAGTTTTAATGTCTGGTATGTAAATATTCTAGTTCACATAAAAAGCCCTTGGGATTTCTCAACAGTTTTTAAAAACATAAATCATGAGCGATAAAGTCTGAGCAGTGCTAGCCTTAAAAAAAGATTCAAAATAATCCCCATGCTGGTGGGTTTTGAAGCTTGCAACCAAGATGTGTTAATTTTCCAAATCTTAAAATATTCTATTTTCTTGCCTAGTAAACCGTGAGTGCTGTATGAAAAAGGTCCCAGAGAAACGAGTGAATAATGAACCTTGTTGTTTACCTGAGTACAGACACTCCTGTTTAAAAACCTCATCTTTTGCAGGTTTTACAGAGGTTAATAAAGTCTCGAGGGAAATCTCAAGCGAAACACCTCAATGTCCAGATGGTGGCGGCAGATAAGCTAGCTCAGTGTCCTCCAGTAAGTCTCTCTGTTCAGTATAATCCACTTGAAGTCATCAGCCCCGCTGTTAACAAAAACAAGACAGACTAAGTAAACACTTGTCCAGAAGAGAAGCCTCTCCCTTAGCAGTGGGCTTCTTCCCAAATTGGAGAACTGTCCACCTCTTGCCATGAGCACGGGTCTAGGTCATGGTCATGGCTTACAAAGGCTACAGTATGTTCCATGGGGATGTCGCTTTGTTAACATCTAACGCTTCCATAGTATCTTAAGTGAAACACATTGTTGTTTCAGCACTTTGGTTGGAAAAATGGATCTATTTGGGGTTGGTTTATTATTCACTTCTAATCTGGGAGCAAGTTGCTGGCTCTTTATCACCATCTATGAAACTGATCTGAAACCATGTAGACACCAATTTCCAAACCAGTCAGTAAGCAGATTCTGAACCCATTCCTACCTTGCATCCCTGTCGTGCATCCCATGCTTTGAGACACTATGCTTCTGGGTTTTGTTTTGGCTTCTTTTTTTAATGAGAGGATAATTACAATGTTGTGTTAGTTTCCACTGCACAGCAAAGTGAACTAGCTATACATACACATATGTTGCCTACCTCCCAACCTACCTTCTAGGTTGTTCTGGCTTCATGTCCTTCCCTTGCCGCAGCTATTTCCAAGATTCAGCTTTTCACAGTCTCTCTGTCGAAAACAGACTTCTTCCTATACTATTTGGCTTATAGTCTTTTCTTTTTTACATCTCTCTCCTAACGTAGGGTCAATTCCTTTTTTTCACTATTAGCAAATTTTCTATCATGCCCTTAACAACTGTTACTACACCTGTCCACTTCCTAGTCATTGATACCAGGGATACATGTGTGTCGACACTGACCGGAGAGGACAGTCCGGGAGAGGGAACAGAGACCAAGGGGCTCCCTGCTTTCTCCTCTATGGTGGGGGGTGGGGGTGGGGGTGTCAGTGTGCTAGCTGTAATGTCTGCCCCTGCAGGAGCTGTTTGATGTGATCCTGGATGAGAACCAGCTCGAGGATGCCTGTGAACACCTGGCCGACTACCTGGAGGCCTACTGGAAGGCCACCCACCCTCCCAGCAGCAGTCTCCCCAACCCCCTTCTCAGCCGCACTTTAGCCACCTCCACCCTGCCCGTCAGCCCCACGCTAGCCTCCAACTCACAGGTAAGCGGAGCCCTCGTCCACGCCCGGGATGCCAGTGCAGCATTTGCTCCCATCAGGCAGCTGTCTCCCGAGGGAGCTGTATGCCTGTAAGAAAAGCAGTGTAAACAGCATCCTGTGAATGTAGATCCCCTCGCCCCATATTCTTTTTTAATTGGTGTAGAGTTGCTTTACAGGGTTGTATGGGTTTCTTCCTACAAGGAAGTGGAACAGCTATTATGTCTATCAGCTCTATCCCCTTCCTCTTGGACTGCCCTCCCACCATGCCCACCTCTAGGTTACCACAGACCACTAACTCTATTAGACAGGAAGAGAGGAGGAACTTTCTACAGGCCAGCAGCACAGACTGTGGACTCAAGACTGCCTGGGTTCAAATCCCTCACGGGCCCTGTGCCTCAGGCATCTAACAGCACCAACCTCATGGGGCTGTCTTAAGGGTTCCATCTTGTGACCCTTTTCAAAGAGCATAGAGCGTTGTATTAATAATCTGATATGTGACTATCTTATGCTAGTGCTGGTCTCATTAAGTGCCATTTAAGCATCTGACTGTTAATCATTTTTTTTTCCTTAAAGCCAATATTTCCAGAATTTATCTTCCCACCTGTATCTCAGGTGTGGCTCAGTGTACACCCATGTGTAGACAAATGTCAGGAATTTGTATCTGTATTTGAACCACAAGAGAATATTTAAAAGAAATCCCTCCTTCCTTCATCTAAAAGGCAAAAAAAAAAAGTTCCTCTGTTCAAAGTCTCTAAAAGGCTGAAATGAAATCTAACCCAGCTTGCTTGCTTAGTTCTTTTGGTAACATCCAGTAGCATTTATATTATATTGGACTTGACGTTAATTTGTAAGCACCTAGGACAGCACAAAGGGACTAGACTTAAGAGTGCCTGCCTTTGTGACAGGGGTTCTGTATTTGATCCTCTGGCTGCAGGGTTCTCAAGGGGATCAGAGGACGGATCGCGGGGCTCCGGCCCGCTCTGCTTCTCAAGCTGAAGAAGAACCCTGCCCGGAACCGGTCAAGAAAGCCCAGCATCGCTCCTCCACCCAGCACCACAACCATCGCAGCGGCACCAGCCGAGGCCTCTCCAGGCAAGAGACCCTGGACTCGGAGACGCAGGAGAGTCGCGACTCCGCCTACGTGGAGCCCAAGGAAGAGTACTCGCACGAACACGCGGACCACTACGCCCCGCCCCGCGACCACAACCACCGTGAGGAGCCCCACGGGGGCGGGGAGCACAGACACAGGGAGGCTCGGCACCGCTCCAGGGACCGGGAGCAGGACCACAACGAGTGCAACAAACAGCGGAGCCGCCACAAATCCAAGGATCGCTACTGTGACAAGGATGGGGAAGGGGTGTCCCGGAGACGGAACGAGGCTGCGGACTGGAACAGGGATGTTTACATCCGCCAGTGACTCTTCTGCCCTTTTTGTGTTGTGTTTTTTTTTTAAGTCTTGTATACCCACCACCCGCCCAACTCGATCTTGGGGGGGGGGTCTACATTGCAATCATATGTGATTTGTCTTGTATATTTTGTACTGATGTTGCTTGGATAGCAACAGCATAAAATAGAGTATTAATACACTTTTTTTTTTTCTTTTGTAAGTGCTCTATCAATTGGCCTGGAAAGACTGCAGGCCCCCGGTTGTCTACAGATCCTTGAACCCCATCTAGGGTAGCTGCCACTCGAACAAAATCTGTTGCTGTCTGAGTGGCGTTCGTATTTTAAGAAGCATAGCTGATGTTTTCGAAAATGTGGTTGATGTATCCAGTAGGCCAGAACTGGCCCAGATGAAAAGTGGAGTTTCCTGATTCTTGCCGATTTTTTAATATGTAGGCACCTGATTTGCATATTCATCCATGGACCACTGTTTCTTGCTTGTACCTCCGGCTGACTAAATTTGGGGACAGATTCAGTCTTGCCTTACACAAAGGGGATCATAAAGTCAGAATCTATTTTCTATGTATTAGTATTGTGTACTGTATAGACAGTTTGTAAATGTTATTTCTGCAAACACCTTCTTACAATAATTATATATATTATATAATATATATATATATATATCAGTTTGATCACACTATTTTAGAGTCTTAATGCCAAGTCAGCAGACCTGCTTTATGAATTACAGGGACTAGAAAAGCCCACCTTCAGGAAATTTGTAATAGCATCGACTCGACGCCCATCCCCATTCACTAGAGAGTCTGTACATACTGTAAATACGTGTGGCTGCTTGACTTGAAAAGGTTTGATTTCTGAATGTTTCACCATCCTTGTAAGTTTATCATTTCTGACCATAAACTATGGGAAATATATAACCAAACTCCAAGAGTTGTTCTACTCCGTGCAGTTCACACTGATTGTGACGAACACGTCCTGCGTAGCTAGTGTCTGAGGTCACAGCACTGGAGTTTAGGAGCTGGAACCCGTGTGCGTGTGGGTCTGGGAGTGAGCATGTGCGAGCAAGTGGAGGGTGTGAGTGTGGAAGACGCAAGAAGCGTCCAGCCTGGGCCACCGGCACGCACCCACCTGGCTCCGCCGTTCACTATGCTGCTGCGGGAGCCGCCGGGGCGTAGGGGGGAGCTCGCTGCCAAAGGGGACTCATTCAGAGAGCTCCCACCTGCTGGCTCCTTGGCTGTGCCCCTGGAAAGGAAAAATACGGGCCGCTTTTAACTGTGAGTGTTCCACTGGAAATGTCTGATCTTTCATGTGTCCGAGTGTCTGTCGTAGGGAGAAACGTTTACACAGCTTGTAGAATAATTTCAGGGGAAAATCAGAGACCGTGACTCCTCCCGCCCCGCTGGCTGTTCCCCTCTTCTCTCCTCCATCCATCACCTCCCGTTCCATCCCCATCTCCCCCACCCACTCCGACACTTTCGCTGTCCTTCAAAACCTAGAAGTGCTTCTTATAACCAAAGTTTCTGCTCTTCAGAAGAAATCAGGGCAAAATGAGATGACTTGAAGTGAACAAAGATGTTGAGGTTTTCCTGCGTGGGACACCTGCCCTGAAGGGGAAGCCAGAGATGCTGAGCCTGGTGTCAGGGACACGCTGGCAGCAGCCCACGAGGTGGCTGTCATGCTGAGGCCAAAACCTGCTCTGTCTGTCCAGTAATGCCTGGATGGGTAAGACAGTATTAGGTGTGCAGAGACCTGGCACTTGAAGTCTGTTCCTGGAAAACTCCTCTCTCTGATTGCCTACCTTCAGACCTGGACATTAAAAATTCTTATTTTGTTAAATAAGTTAGGCTATTTTTTATTTCGCTTCTTTGGTTATCCCAGGTTCTTGCCAAATATCCTTGGACCTTTACAAGTAAAACTGTTTCATGTTTCATTCCTTATTTTCCTCCCCCAAAGAAAACTCAAGAGTTAAAACGCTATATGTATAATTCATTTTTATATCAGATAATAGAGAAACCATTTCCCTCAATCTGTTGATTAGCTCTGTACTGTTGACATACCTTTATTTATTGAATATAAAGATACTAGTCATAATATATAAATTTTCAGTATAAATTAGTCACATCATTGGGAAACAATGTTCCAATTAAAGTTACTTTTATAAAATACTTCCAGTCAACTTTTCATCACGGTAAGATGTCCTAATCACTGGCCCCAACCTTTCCTATACAAAATTACATCCCAGTTCATGACTTTGGAATATTTGAATTCTTGAGGTATAACTGGTATGTATCTTTTTTGCTGCTACCATTAATCCCTTTCAAAGAACTACATTAACGGATTCCATTTTTAAAAATTTTGTACCTGGACCCTTCATTTCTCACTTTACTGTGAAACACATTAGTCCAAATCAGAGTGTTCCTCAGAAACCTCTATTGCAGGATTTGACATAAGAGCATCTATCTGTGAAGACTGTGTAGTGGGTATATGTGTAAACGGTGTGTGCAAAATATGTAAATGAAGAAACAATCCCAAGGACAATGGGATATTTACTGACTCGTAAAATGTAAAATTCTAAGTCTTTTCACACAGCAAAGGTTTCATCTTAACCAACTGGGTTGTAGAATCATGATTTTTGTAGTTAACCTAGAAAATGCTGGAAATGTTCTGAATAGTTCTATGGTTTTTTTTCCTTGTCAAACCCATTTCGATTTTTTCCTCTGCTCTCTCTCTACTGCTCATTTAAGTTACTGTTACAAAAAGGTGCTGCTAAATATAGGCCGTCTTAGTTATCCTGTACTTTGGGACAATGCCACATTTAAACATGGTCTGCTCTGCATTCATGTTAAACCTTCACTGTCAGCTACACCAAACTGTTCAACAAGCCTGGTTTAAAGTCATTCGTATCAAACAAATAAAGAGCTGGCTTCTGCACTGTTTACTATTAGTAGTATTAATTACCATTTCAGGTGTGAGTCTTACAGTTGAAAGTATGTTAAACACTTACCTGCACTTCCCTCACGTGGCTTATCTTCTGGGGGCAGGGAGGTCACGGGCTGCGGCCCCTCCCCACGCTGACAAGTGCCAGCTTCCAGCAGGTCAAAGGTCTCCAGGCGTCTGAGCACAGCAACATCAGCTTCCTCTCACCTTCATCCTTCCATGTTCAGCAATTCTTGCCTCCGATGTTGAATTTTATTTTTTCCCTTTTAAACTGATCCATCATCAGATCTTCATTTTAATTCCTCACCCTTGGCTCAATGACATGATGCTGCTGGTCCAATCTCGTTAACAGGTCAAGAGTCACTCTGGTGGAGACAACAGGTAATTAGACGTCTCTGGGTCAGTGGTTGAATTGTGGCTAAATTACGTTTTTAAGTATTTGTACTTTACTACTTAAAATGTGATACACGGTTTTGAAGTAAAATGTACTCACTGTGGAATTAAAATGCTTCTGTTTCAGAAATAACTATGACAACATTAAATATGTTAAAAAAAATGTATTCGTTCTCCTCCGTATTTCCCTTTCTTCTATCGTATTTTTTCTTAAATGTCTGCGTTTCTTAAGATTGAATGTGTTTTGTGTTCCAATTTGTTTTTTTTTTTTTTTTTGAAAGAAACCACTGGAAAATGTCTGTTAAAGGAACAAATGGTAACCCTATTTCTTATCTGTCAGTACTGTTTTCAATATGCAAATATTTTTCTTGTTTTGCCTGTACTGCTTGTATTGTGGTGTTTGCTGGTATTAATCAAAACTTACCATGTTTGCTACGAGGCTCTTTCCCAACCATTTCCATCCCAGCCTAGCACCTAAGGTTCTGCAGAGAGCATGAGAAGGGATGGACTTTGTGTGTTTTAAAATCATATTGAAAGTTCCAGGGTTATGCCGAGCCCTGGAAACAGAAGTACACAGGTCAACAGTGTTTCTCTTTAGACAGATGACACCTGCTGGGTATGAGGCAGAATGAGGGATGGAAAGAAGTCAGTTACATAGTAGTCTTAGGGCACTTGGTGTGATTTTTTTCCCTCCTTCAGTAAGGGTGTAACGGTGATCTGCTGTACAGAAAGGACAAAGTTGCTGCCTACCTGGGGGTAGGGGTCAAGGGCATGCCTAGTTCCCTAGGGTGATGTGTCAAGTGCTGTGACAGGAGAAGTCAAGAGGTCCAAGGGGTGCAGAGACAGCCCAGCCGCAGAGAAGAGTGTGAAGAAAGGCTTGCTCCGAGCAGAGGCCTCTGAAGATCTCACCTGACCCGAGACCTTGCATTCTTCATGACACAAGAAGAGTTTTGAGAAATTCCTAATGCATACCCTTTGTTGTTGTTTAGTTGCTAAGTCATGTCCAACTCTTTTGCAACCCCATGGACTGTAGCCCGCCAGGCTCCTCTATCCATGGAATCTCCCAGGCAAGAATACTGAAGTGGGTTGCCGATTTTCTTCTCAAGGAGGTCTTCCCAACCCAAGGATCAAACCTGCATCTCCTGCATTGGCAGGCAGATTCTTTACCACTGAGCCCACCAGTGAAGCCCAGTGGAGACCTGTGAAGGGCAGGGAGGGGAAAGAAACTATTTGGCAATTGTTTCCAACCATCTACTTTACATGCCCAAAGGCTCAGGAGTTTTGAGGTGATTTGAATTAACAAAACATATTTAACATGACATGAGACACCTTTTAACCTATGGTGGGTATTTTAATAGATCTTATCTAAAAAGCATGCAGGATGAAGCAAGCCCATAGTTACAATCATCTTACAAAGGCAGTCCATGTATACTGGCCACTATGGGAGATGTCTGGTCACTTCTGTGGTTTGGGTGATTTCAGATTTGATGGTGAAGTGGTCTTGTTTTATCTTGATCTATCCTAGTCACAGCTGCATGGTCTGGGGTTGGTGTTCTATGGACTTGGCAGGAAAATACCAAGGCCTGGCCACTTCCCAGCTCTCACAAGACAGTTTTCTCTTTCTCACCAATCATACCTCTAATAATTTGTATAGTCCATTAGATGATAAAAGGTACCCCAATTCTA